ATGCCATGTTTCTCCATCCACAACTAGTAAATTTGACTCTCTAACTTGAGAGAGGGTTGCTTTCTAGTCTAAGGAATCCCATGAAGGATTAAATACCTTATGTTCACAATTCTCTATTCCAGCGGGTGTCACAAGACTCCATTTTCTGGAAAACAGATACAATTTGCTGGCAAAAAAAATTAGAGTTTGGCTTGTGTGTACTAATCTGCACTGCACACTATGCTGCTAAAGGCTTAGATAGGAAACTTCATTCCAGATGCTTGTGGTTCAACGAACGACTAAGTCACAATGAGCTGCAGAGGATGGACAAGTAGTGCATCTGCAGTGCCAGGAAGCTCAGCTACGGATGGCAGATTCTTAAAAGGACCAGGAGAAAAACACTATCCCCAAAAAGTGGAAGCACACTCTACTTTGCAGATGACTCAATTCTGCCAAGCAGTTAGCTGGATTTTGATTTAGTGATATCCTGGCTCTATTTATTCACCATGTTTATAGTCAAGAACATTAGAGTTCCTGTATTTAACATTGCAGCACAGAATTTTCATAGATCATGGTGACACAGCTAAGACTACTACTAGAGAAAAGATTACTATGCTATGAAAAGCTTGGTGAGCAGCAGCAAATACTGCTAATAACTGAGGGGTTTGACAGTCACTTAAAAATGCAAGTCTATCTGTACAGATATACTACAAAGGACAGGCTAAAGTGTTTAATGGAGTTTTTTTTAAAATATGAGAACCACGATAAATAAACAACATCCAGACACTATTTTAAACAGTTTTGCATAAGCATGTGATGGTCCTTGTTTTAGTTTAGGCATGAGAGGTTTAAGTTCACTGTTGCAACAGATCCTCAGCTACAGGATGTCTTGCATTGTTTCCAAGTAGTTTAGGTTACAGCAAAACAAGAGAACAGAACAAACTGTTACTAGCAAGAACTGGCTGGAACAAGCTATGACAATTTAAAAATTTCCACCTGAAAAAAACCCCAAGATCACTGATTACAAAATGAAAAGCAGTGCCCCTACCGTTACTACCCTGGTAGTGTAGGGCTTTTTCTGGAAGAAAACATGAACACTGTCACGGGATACGCTTCACAAAACTTGATCTCATGACCCAATAAGGCTGCTGTTTTATAGATCTCAAAATAGCAGGCTTTGCTGCTGTGTCAGGCTAAAAAATGGGAAAGTTAAATACTTTTTTAATTCAGATGCCAGCAAGATACAGATCTAGTTCTTTCAGCTTACTTCCAACAATGTGCACTGAGTCAAAATATTTATTTAGTAAACCTGGACATTGACTTAATGAAAAACAGGACAAAGAAGGTAGAGAAGTATGCCACATATTATTCCATGTCCTTAAAATTGCTGTAATATATCTGTATGTACTCACTGCACCTAAACTGCACCACTCTGTCCTTAGACTGTCATCAGCTTTACAGTGAAAATATATGGCCAAATATTACGCATTACAAGTTGATTCAGTACCACGTTGCTCTTAAGAAGTATCTGAAATCCTAGAGAGGTTCACTACTGCCTGCCTTATAACATGATTGTTGCTTGTTAAGGGAGAGTCTCACGAGTGAAGTGGTGATTGGTGACCTTCTTGGCCACAGTGACTACAAAGCAATTGAGTTTAAAATCTTTTTTGACAGGAGGAAAAGTGCTAGCAAAACCTCAGCTCCGGACATGAGGAGAGCAGAATTCAGGCTTCTCGGGAAACTAATTGGTAAGGTCCCCTGGGAAAACCCTTTTGAAGGTGCTGGGGTCCATCAGTGCTGATTACTTTTTTCTTTTACCCTGAGATTAGCTCAGTTGGTCAGAGTATGGTGCTAATAACACCAAGGCTGTGTGTTTGATCCTCATATGGGCCGTTCATTTAAGAGTTGGACTTGATGATCCTTGTGGGTCCCTTCCAACTCAGAATATTCTGTTATTCTGTTATACTAAGGGCATAGGAGCAGGCAATTCCAAAATGTTGGAAGTCAAGCAGACAAGGCAGAAGGCCAGCTTGGCTGAATAGGAATCTTCTCTTGGAGTTAAGGCAAAAAAGGAAGGTGTATGCCCAGTGGAAGCAAGGTCAAGTGACATGAGAGAAACAATGATGCTGCTTGCCACTGTAGGGAGAATATCTGTGCACCCAAAGCTCAACTGGAGTTGAAGCTGGCCAGAAATGTAGGGGACAATAAAAAGTTTTTTAAAATACACTAACAGGAAAAGACAGCGCAGAAATAACATCAGCCCATTAGAGGATAAGAATAATCGCCTCACAAACAGGGACACAGAAAAAGCAGAAATGTTTAATACCTTCTTTACCTCTGTCTTCAACACCAAAGACAGGCTAAGAGGGTCCCAGTGTCCTGAGCTGGAGGACCATGGCTGTGAGAATTAGAAACTCCCAGTCGACCCTGAACTTGTGCGGGATCTGCCGCTTCAGCTGGATCGCTCTAAGTCTGTGGAGCCTGATGGGATGTGACAATACTCATAAAGACGTCTGATGTCATTATGAGTCCTCTTTGGATGATTTTTGAATAGTCTTAGGAATCTGGAGACATTCCAGTTGACTGAAAGCTGGCTAATGCATTTACATCCTTACACTACAACACAGATAAAGAACACTGGTAAAGAGCCAGTCCAAATTTAGTATAGGTAACACTGATCTAGGTCTAGTATGCAAATAAAACTCAATCCTATTCCTGTTTAACTACTCATGCATTCACACTGTAACTAGATCTGTGTTTTCAGCACTAGCACAACAAACCACAAAGATGTGGAGCTATCCCAAGTCTGGTATCGCTCTTGCTAAGCCCTACCCGAACTAGAAGTGTTAGGATTGTACCACACATACTCTAGTTTCTTTGCAAGTGCCAGGTTTGGAACAGAAGGTGATAACAGATACAGCTCAACACCAGCTATGGTTGGTAGTTTGGTTGCAGGTGCTATCTGCTCCAGGGTGTGAAAAATGTAATTATGTGTTATGCATAACACATGGGGTTTTCCCATTTGGTCAGGTATCCCCACCTGCATTACTGCCTTACCTTCAATAACAAAAACCTTTGACTGAAAAAGAAAAATCCCCATTATTAGTATGAAAAGAGAACCATGAATTTTCACTACAGGGAAAACGCTAGCAAAAATAACATTTCAGTTGCTGCAATTTTAACTTTGCTTATTAAAAAAAAAGCAACATTTACAGCTAATATATTGCAGACAGCTTATTTCCTCATCTCTGAACACAAGATGGGTTGTTCTGCATTGCAAAACAGGCATGCAAAACAATGTATGAACAAACACCCACTCCTCTCAGAACCATCACCTGAGTTATACAATGCCATACAAGCTCCAAAATTTAGAATTAAAAGAGGTGCAGGGAGTTTTGATACTAAATACTATGCAAATGAGCTCTAGTCATATGGCTCCCTGATTGTCCTCTTCCTTTTAATTTTCAAGGAAGTTCAAGAAGTCATTAGTGAAGTTTTCTATAAATTATTAAAGCTGATCAAGAGCAAATTATAAGTGGATTATATTTTATGGCAGAATAAATGATGACCTAAGTCTATTCAAATTCCAGGTTGTTATACAACTGGAGTATTAGGAAGAAAATCCTAGGGTGTTTCAGAAACTCAGCCATCACTGACAACTGAAACACACCTTTCTAAACACGCCATTAGTTGCACAAATGTGCCAACTGTTTCACAAACCCACACAGAATCCTCAGATAACCAACCCAAAACCAGAAGCAGGAGTACTTCATTTTATCATCTGTACTACACTATCTGACATGAGGGAAGCACGGAGGCATGAATGAAAATTCAAAAAGCTTTGTGAAGTCAACAATTCACAGTATATCTGAATCTCTTCAACTGAGTTATCACATAAGGTTAGCATTGTCTTTTATTAAAACCACCAAACACAGAATTGCATCTTCTTTACTACAATGAACTTGAAAAATACACATTCAAGGGGCTTTAACTGTAAAGCACAAAGAAAAAAATTACACAATTCCAGTTTCTGATGACTTATGAAGCCTTCCCCAAAGGTCTTGAAAAAAAATCAAAGAAAATTTTGGAATAATTAAAGCCAATGTGGGAAGAGCACAGCAGAGGAATGAAGGTAAGGAACTAAGTTGTATTAGCTTGGCACTCTTTCAAGAAGACTCAACGTGTCTGTGCAACAGCTAAAACTGTCTGGTAATCTTCCCTTTCTCCTCAGTGTCTCCTTCCTCACCACTTCATCTCCATTTTTCCTGCTGAGGCTGGAACCCCTTCAATTGAAGCAAAACAAAAATGCATTTTTCTTTACCTTCACTCAAGTTTTTGCTGTCTTCTCTCCTAACACAGAACCTCTGAAGGAGCAAGAGCAATTGATTCCCAGAGACACTCTTGTTGATGGATTTTGTCTGCTGGCCACATCCAGCCCCAGCATTGTTTCTGGCACTGCCCGCCAAAGCCTCAAAACCTGGTAGGTGACTAACAGCCAAAATCCCAAAGTACAATGCATATAGAATGTGTTCTATATGCACATAGAATATGTTCCCTAAATAAATATTAGCTTCAGAGCTGTTTAATTACAGCAGACGTCTGTTCACTACCTGTACCCCAAATAAATTAGTGTAAAGGACTGGACTGGAGCTCACAGCTCAAGCTTTTTCCTTCAGTTTTTGCCCTATATCCTCCTACAAACCTGAGCAAATATTAAGGTCTTCTTAATTTCCCCACAATTAAACCAGTAACGTTGTAAGCCTTTTAACATGAGGGCAAGGAGAGAATGAATGTGAATGTAAGAATTATCTCAGGGGACACACACCACAAAAACTGATATATAACTCTATACTAGGAGCCAAATAGCTCAGATGAAAAATACAGCTCAGAGTATAAAACTTCTCTTAAAATACAATTAAAAGGCAAGCAATCATCACAGAACACTCAAAATCATCAGGCATTTGGATAAGTTTCATAGAATTGAAAGTTGAAAAAATTGTATTAAAAGGAGATACAACACATTTCAAAAACCTCTGTTTTATTTGTACAGAGTAAAATACATCATATAGCGAACATTGTTTCCCACCCATAATCTAAAGCCATCAGTAAGTGTTTTCTTTTCACCAAACATCCTGGCCAGAAGCACAGACAATGGAAATGGGAATGCTAATTAGTCTCTCTCTGCCAGAGCTACAAGGTGCACATCAATCTCTGCTTCTGTAAGGATCCTGAAAGAACAAAAAGAAATCTTAAATAGCTTAAATGATTCTTCCCCTTAAGTTCCAATATTACCACCTAATATCTCCACAATTAAGTTTTACAGCAATGCATCTTTCTACCCTTTAAAGTCCTGCTGCCAGGGCCAAAGGCTGACATTTCAATTCTTTTTGAAAAATAAAGGAATAATCAAAGGCACCAGAGAAACGGAGGTAAGAAATGGTGGAAACAGAACAGGTAATTCTTCACGAGTAATACATTTTCAAGTTAGGACCTGGTAAGAAGAATGGGTATGGCAATTAGTAGTATGATTACTCCATGTTTTCATAGCCTTCTCCCTCTGCTTGTTATCTGCCCTTTCTGAAAAGGACAGATGACCAATAAATAAAGTTTGGCAGAAAGCTAGCACTTGACACTTGAGTGGCAGTAGAAAAGCAGTAATACAGCTCCTGCATGCTTTCTCAAAGATGTTGAGCTATTCTGTTGTTCTAAGCACATACCACCAAATGTAAAACCACCCACCATCATTGTGTCAACTTCAAAAAACCTTAGGAAGGAAACATTTAAAAGACTGCACCTATAGGACCCAATGGTTTGAAGCCTCTCTCCAACCCCCACTTACAAAGTAATTAGACTAAAGTAGCAGAGGACTTTATTGCCTATTTAGCTGTTCCTCTCTTTTTTTTCTTCTTAAATAAATAGAAGAACCAATGACAGCTTAAGGCAGAAATAACTGAGCCCCTATGAAGCAAGTCAAACTTATCAAAATTTTAGGTAAGCTGTATCTGGAGGGTTGTTTTGCATTACAAAAAATCCCCAAAGCTTTTCCTTCCACATTTCATTCATACTTCTGTATGCATTATACACATACTTCATTGTGTCTTCAGAAGGCTGTCCAGTACACTGTATCCGATGTGAAGTACTCCTGCCCTCAACAGGAAGACTTCCAGGTGTTGTCTTGACACACTGACCAAGTAATCTTGGTCCACACAGTGTGCTGCATTCACACTCAGGCAACAATCAGGGAGGGAGGAAATAACAGGTGCCTTGCTTTCATGGTGGATAGGAATTCAGTGTATTCAGGAAGTAAAAGTTCAGCCATTTCCAAATCACTACAGTGATTTTTCAAATCTAAGATCTTTTAATCTTGTCAAATTTAAATAGAATATTTCAAATCATACAAATTCACATTCTATTAACTATATACTGGAGATGTTAAAAACTGCTACATTTACAAGATGAGCAAGAATAATTTAAAGATTAAATTTAGAAAAGGATTAAAAAAAATAAGGAACTTGTAAATGTTTCATAATGTACACCAGACTTTACTGCATTAATTGGCACGACTATGATTTGGAAGTGAACTCCAGCTACCAGTACGAAGAAAGATTTTTATGCTTCTAACCATGAGAGCACAACTAGACCAGATGTAACTACATTTCAATCATCAGGTAAAACAGTACCCTTTTAAAAAATGAAAGAGAACACTTTACTGAATCCCTTAACCATGTCAAACGTTTTAAAAATGTATTATTTTTTTTAAACAATGTTTTCTACCCCTACATGTTTTGAAGAGTTACAAGTAAAAAAATCTCCAGAATGTCAACCTCTGGCATTTCTCTCTTTTCTCGATTTACGATTACACAAGAAGGTAAAACTAACTGCAAATAACCAGAGAAACACACCAAGTTTTATCAGCACTGATCACCTACCTGAATTTAGGATTTTCCACCGTGACTACACCAACTTCTATTTCTGAAGGCTTGAAATCAATGGACAGTACAGTAGATAGGCATGTTATTGCTGTCTGAAAGATGACAAAACCCCTCATCATTAAAAATAAAGCACTAAGGCTTTTCTTTTAAATAGACATAGCATTAACAACTACCCTTCCTTCTAGTTTAAAGTTATTTCCTTTCACTTCAAAACCTCAGCTTAGAAGTTCTAAATAGTTTTTCCTTGCTACAGAACACAGTACCTCTCCACTCCTCTCCCTAAAAAGACCAATCTACAAAAAGCAAAGGACAAGTCATTTTCGTAGTAAAAAAACCACACAACAAACCCAACCTTCTATCATGCAAAGATCCTGTTTGAAATGCCTTCTAATATGAAGATTGTTTTAAATGCGACTAAAAGTAAGTCATACTGGTATTCCCAAAACCAAGCACTGTAGTAACCAACCACCAGCTACAATGGGAGTGCTACAATTACAGAATCTTCTTCAACTAACATAAAGCAGAAAAAGCAGAATAGATGACTATTTAAACATTTGCAGAATACCTTCAAAAGATTTTCTGGTTGGAATAGCTATTCTTGCTATTGTAGCAATACAGAAGTGCAAGGAAAGCAGAAATGCCTACCTGCATTTCTCTATATTGCAAACCTACATGCAGCACGTTCATTAAAAATACTTTAACAAATCTTTATTTCCTTCTGCTGGCCTACCTCTACTGTCTGTTCATATGTCCAGTCAAATTTCTTCTTTACTTTCTTTTCAAGAAAACTGGTTGACTCTGTCTGTTTAACTCCTGCAGCTGTGGCCTTGAATCCACAATAGTAACCTGCTGGATCACACTTGTATACCTGAGGGCCGTGTTCTTCATCAATACCAATCAAAATCATACCTTGAAGAGAAAATTTGTTAATCTTTTTATTTCCCAATTTTATCAATTCAATTCAAGAACAGAATGGATACTCCTGTGAAAAAACGTGCACGCACAGCAGTACATTTCTGGGAATCAGTCCATACCTGGAGCTGCGATTTCCTCTTTAATTTGCCATTTCTTATGAGCATCTCATTACCAGGTGTGACTCAGTTTAGCACGAACCATATTTCCGTGATTCCCAAGGAAGGCTACTCATTAAAAACACATTTTTACCACGCTCAGTGTGTAAAGAACCACAAAGTCAGGAAACACAAAAGTTAACCTAGCCACAGTTCACATCCTGTGTTATATGACACAAAGTGTAAACAATAGTTCCATTACCATGTGCTTTCTATTAGAAAGCAACTTTACAAACATGTTGAAACTAATGGAAATATTAAAAGATTAAATTTGGATTTCTCGTTTGTAATCCTAAAAAGCACTGAAAAGCATTATATACCTTTTCCTCTTTTCTTTAAAGAAAAAAAGAATCTGAAATTAAATGGAGAAATGGAGAAATCAGGACAAACTGAATCTCTGAAGACCATTTGACCAAGTTTAAGCTGGACAGATTTCAAGTAACACAAACTGATCACATCACTGAAATGCATGTGTTCACTCTCACTTCTTCATTTACAGCTGCATTGTCTCATTATGCATATTAAAAAATAAGTCAAAAGAAATACTTGCAAGAAAAACTCAAAACAGAACAAGGTCAAGATTTTCAGTTATTTTCACTTTACACTTGTGTAACTTTTTACCAGTGGTTAGAGTTGATAAGCTTCTGAGCAGCAATACGATAGAAAAAAAAATCCCTTCATATTTTTAAAAGAGACTAAGGGAATTCAGGAAAAATACATTTTTATTCATGTATTTTAAAAAAGAAATTTCCAGTAGTATCAAGGCATGGGAAATGCCAAGGGAAGAAGGAAACAATCATTCCTGAAAATTACAAGCATAGGAAAATTGCCCCATCATGGAAACTGTGATGCAACCTTGAATGTTGCTTCTTTAGTGAGAAGTTGTAGTGCCTACTAAGATTATGAGAAGTGATTCGTCAATTCTGAAACTATTCTTCTTAAAAGAAAAAAAAACCTGGCAAAACCCAACCAATCAAAAAAAAACCCAGACAGAATGGTTAATGAAAAAGTAGCTGAGGAAACATTTTAAGTCTTTTACCTCAGTTCCCAAACACCCTATGAGCACAGTTATAATTTGCTTACAGTCAAACATAAGAGAAAAAACAAGTCAAAACCAACCTCAGAACACACAGATGACCAGGAATATCTACAAAAATACGACTTTTCACACAACTTTTTTTTTAATTTAAGCTGCATTTGCTGTTATAAAACAAGCTGTAGAAATATTTGCAAGGGAAATATTTTTAGCACTTCTTCTCTACATTATATACATGATGGCTAAGTTAAGACCAAAAATAATGCAGATCTGTCCTATACATACTACTTAGATAAAACCGCCACAAAATCTGCACAAGCATAATTGCACTCTCCATCTGTTCTGTTTACCCAGACACAATGTATTGGGCTTGCATGGCAAGGTTTTGGCAGGGAGGGGACTACAGAGGTGGCTTCTGTGAGGAGCTGCTAGAAGCTTCTCCCATGTCCAACACAGCTAATGCCAGCCAGCTCCAAGATGGACCCACCAGTGGCTAAGGCGGAGCCCATCAGCAACAGTGGCAGCACCTCTGGGATAATGTATTTAAGAAGGAAAAAAAAAAGTTATTTGTCAGAAGCAAAGAAGCACATACAGACAGGATAGAGAGTGAGAATAGGAGAGAGGAACAGCTCTGAAGACACAGGTCAGTGAAGAAGGAAGGGGAGGAGCCACCAGTGCAGAGGTTCCCATGAAGACCACGGTGAGGCAACTGAGGTCCGTGGTGGAGTAGAGATCCACCTGCAGCCCCTGGAGGACTCTGTGCTGGAGGAGGTAGATGCCTGCAGAAGGCTGTGGCCCCATGGGAAGCCTGCATTGGGGCAGGACCTGTGGCCCTGTGGAGAGAGGAACTCATGCTGGAGCAGTCTATGAAGAACTGCAGCCTATGGGAAGGACTCGCTCTGGAGAAATTAAGGGAGGACTATCTCCCTTGGAGAGGGAGCAGGGGAAGGGCGTGAGGAGTCCTCCCCCTGAGGAGGAAGCAGCACCAGAAACAATGTGTGATAAACTGACCACTACTCACCTTCCTGTCCCCCTCTGCTTGAGGGAGAGGTCGAGAATCTGGAATAAAGTTAAACCTGGGAAGCAAGGTAGGGGGAAGGTGTTCTGAAATTTGGTTTTACTTCTCAGCATCCTACTTTGATTTGCTCGGTAATAAATTAATTTCCCCAAGTTGAGTCTGTTTTGCCCATGACAGTAACTGGCGAGTGATCCCTCCCTGTCCTTATCTTGCCTTTCATGGTATTTTTTCTCTCTCCTGTCCAGCAGGAGAAGAGCATGAAGAGGAGAGTGATGGAGAAGCTTTGGTGGACACCTGGCATACAGCCAAGGTCAAACCACCACAAACAGACACCATTAAAAAGAGCATTTCACACTTACAGACCTCACTGTGCAGTGCAAACAGACTAGGCCCCAAAAACTGAAGTGAAACAGTATCACACATTTTAAAGAGGCCACATCATTTCAAATGCTGAGTCAATGGTAAAATCATGGCTCCAATTCAAGACTTTCAAAGCTGTTCTCTCATTTGGCTGTTCATGCCTCTTACTCCTTCAGCTGCCCATTTTGAAAATGAGTGAGAATTTCTTATACAAGAAGTTGCAAGCTTAGACAAGAAACAGAAAAGATTAATTTCACACACTGTACTTACAGCAACCAAGGGGCCTCATTTCAGCATTTTGCGTATAGACCTGAGAAATATCTGCAATCCTTTTACACAGCATATCCACAGGGATGTCATAGCCATACTTGTACTTCCAGTTAGCAGCCTCATAGCGGGCTCTCTGCACCTGGGATCTGCTGTCAGCTAGACAGAAAGAACGAATATTAATTTCACTGAACATGTACCAAGTTTATTTCCAGCACTGCCTGAGAATGCAAATTCCAGGTCCAACTTTACATTGTCTTTAAATATACCCATTAGAACTAGATAAGTTCTCCAAAACTAGACTGAGTGGAACAAATCTCCTAGAGCATTTATTGATATTATATGATGCAAAGCTAGCGAACTACATAAAAAACCTGACATGCTTTAAATATTTAAAAAAAGATGGTGAATTAAATACCTGTCATTCCTGTCATGACACAGCCAATATTTTCAGTGATTTTGAATAAATGAGTCACTGTGTTGGAATCCAGTAACTTGTCCTAAAGAGGAAATAAAAATAATCTAATAGAAAACACTGTCCTTGAAGTTTAAAAAAAAAAACAAAAACAGACTCTGATGCTCTGCTATCTACAGAAGAGCCCAAAAGGACCCACTAATAGCCAAAAATTCTTTTTCAGGCTCTCCACCATTTACTGCTGTAGGCATGCAAAGGAAGAAATAGGAGAATAGGGAAGATTAAAACTGCAGTATCTGGAAAAGAATAACAGCAAGAACACGATCTACATCACAGTTCTTTTCCCTCTGAAGAAACTTTCACAACCCACATACAAAAACTTGCTCTCTTATTACATGCTGTCCCCCTTTAGACACAAAAGTTTACCACTTTTGTCAACAATACATCATCACTGAGCCAAAACACTCATGAAAACCTCTTCCGCATGCTATTGGTATAACATTTTCTCAGTAGCAATTAAAGAAATCAGGGAACTGATTATGGACAACACAGCCCTTACAAGCCAGAGCAATGTATGCAATGCTAAAGTACAGCAGAATCAACTTTATATTTTAGCTTTATCCCTTCAACAACTACAGAGGAAACCAATATTGCACTATTTGGTGAGGAAATTCACAGCTGAGCACTAAATGGATCTAGAACTTGTAATAAGCAGGATAATTACATATTCAATTCAAGCAACAATATATGTCAGTGCCAATAAATATAATATCAGTGTTGCGGAGTCTCACCCCCACCTTTTTTCTACTCTCCTTCCAGACCACCCCTCAAAACCAGACTACTTACAGGTACTTTCTTCTGTGTTACAATTACTGCAGAATCCTTCCCACGAACAGCTACAGATGTAAGTCCACCTTGGTTTATGGCCTTAAATGCATATTCTGAAAAAACATATAAGTGTTAATAAAAAACTTGCGTCAGAGATACTAGTACAACTAACTCTGACCCATCTTCCCCCCACCCAGGAATCTTGCCAAGTTGTGGCCTTTTTAATATTTTAATACTTGTGCAGCACTTGGTGCCCTTAAGGTCTTCAGTACAATGTGCACAAGAACTTTCTGACAGTTATTGGAAGTCATTGATTCTCTTCACAAAACCACTGTCACTGTTTCCTTCAAATATTTCTTATAATTTGCTGTTTCGTTCTGTTCAAGCTTAACAGCAACAGAATATGTTTTAAAACAAAGAGGCTGTTCTGATAAATGGTTCCACTTAACCTACAGTAACCATAAATTCTTATAGAAGAATTTTTGACATGAAGTTTAGTATTTTAAGTATTGCTACCACTGCAAGGATATAAATTTATTTTCTAGTTCTTAACTGATATAGATGAAAACTGATACGATTGACCAGACACAGGAGATGGGTTTTAGCCTTACTATCACATTTTCTGACTTGACATTCAAATACTGTAATGTTTTTATTTACTTTTTAGAATGAAATCTACACAGATGTCAACTAAACAGCATTATTCATATAAGTACAATGGATTAAGATTTACTTGAAATGATCCATGAAACAACTTTAAAACCTGTTTATCTGGCAACATACGATAAACATTCAGAACTTTTTAATATCTGGCTAAGAAAGGCAAGTTTCAGGCAGCAGCTAAATGTGGGTGATTTTTCTGTTAGCTATGCAAGTGAAAGCAGAATTTAGAACATGTCTACAAACAGCACAGTACATTGCCAAAACTATCTTCTAAAATAATGTGAGCAAGAAACTCAGCTGTTTTAAAAGCTGCATTTGGATCTATGGAAGAGACTGTAAAACAAAAGAGTAATAATCTGAAGATGAAGAAAACCAAAGCTTGCAATACCGGGATCTTAATGTTCAATCTGCTGACTCAGTGTTGAGGAAGGGCTGACCGTCAGGTTTTTCTGGCACTGTATTTATTACTCTCAGACATAAGAGCATTTATTGGTTACCCAAACATGCCAAAAAGGATGTTCTCCCTTTTCCTCTGCTAGATGCACAACTCCGCTCACCTCTTCACTCCCCTCCCCTGGGATGATCAGTGCCAGCCTGCAGTGAAGCACAGAACCCAGTGAGATGTGAGCCGGCACTGCCCACAAACTGGTCACATTTGAAGCCCCATGCCCAGGCTCTGCAACACTTGTTTATTCATGTGTAGAAACACCTGAAGACAGGGTATAAAGCAAATGGACAGAGCAGGCTATTTTCAGCAATGCCCAATGATGGGACTGAATCAGAGGTGACTGGAACAAACTGAACACCTAAAAACACTTTTTGCCCGTGATGGTGACTGAGCACTGGCACAGGTTGCCTGTACTATTCAGAACCTGTCTGGACATGGTCCTGTACCACCAGCTCTAGGTGGGCCTGCTTGAGCAAGGGGTTGAACCAGATAATCTCCAGAGGTCCCCTCCAACATCAGCTATTCTGTGGTTCTGTGACACAGGGGGCAGCAGGAATAGGTGCCCTCACAAACTAGTTTTTGCTCACAAGTACTGACAACCAGGCTTGCTGAACTGCAGTCCCTTCTGGCACTGGTACTATTACCATCTCCATTGCTCAGTTTTCAAAGAGACAAGCCAAAAGGTGAAGTGGCTCCTACAGTGTAACAAATCCAAGTTGCTAGTGGTGTTTTAAGTCTCTTTACTTCTGTGTAAGTACTTCAGTAGCACTGCATATATTCTCTCTGAGAACAGCAGCCCCTTGCTGTTCCCTGAATATATCACAACAGTCAGAAATTTGACTATAATAATTTTCTTCACCCGCCAGGACTCTACTTAAAAGAAACATCATCTTTGAAGAGTGGAACTAATAAGTAGCAAGAGAACGGTGATGTTCTGAGGGATTTTAACTACAGTAATGAGAAATAACTGTTAGTTTTCCCATATGAGATCACTTCAACAGCACATGAATTTTTTGAGCTTTGGAAGCAGAAGACAGACCTAAGAAAAAGTACAGGCATTTCAGTCCAATATCACTATGCTGAAAATCTCTGTTCCTGTTCTGCCAATTCCAGAAAAACTTCAAGTCCTAAGGCAACCTTAAAGCAACACATGTCCATGCTCATCCCTGACAGCCCCTAGTTAATCTGAATCCAGCACAGAGATAAGGATAAAATAGGTAAATTTAGATATCTGACCACAAGCAAACATGAGATTTCTGCCCATGCCATGGCTACCAGCCTGGCTGCAGGTAAAGTGAGCTCACTCTTGCCTAAAGGTAACTGCACATCTACATATTTTTCTTCCTATAGCATACAGGTACTTAAAATATCTTTATGACAGCTTCAGGCTGTGTGCAGAGGCTCTCAAACACACATGCAGATATTTGCTTCTAAGACACCGTTAAAAGGTATGGAGATACTACATATTTGTCATATATTAACCTAATGGTTGAATAGACCCAGGAGGCAGAAACCAAGGCTCAATTTCCTCTCTACTACAGAACGCAGAAACCATTCCCAACAAGCAGTATTGCAACAGAGAAACAGACCGAAAAGCGATGCAGACCAACCAGCCCGTTTTAATGGTGACAGAAGGTTGGAACCCATGACTCTCCTATCACAGAACCACTGACACCCTGTGTGAGGAAGCACTGTCCCTAACATCTGTATGTATAATGCTTGCCATGCAAGCTGCATACAAGCATTACACATGCTCCAGATACAAGACAGTGCCTGTATGAAGGTATCTCATATAGGTAACTTTCTGCCTGTGTACAGGCACCCATACACAGGTGCTTTCCTTGTTCCTCCCTGAAGAAAGGATTGCTCAAGACTGGACCGCCTGCCCATGAAGCCTAATCCACATAGGCTTCTTCCTGAGAAAAACTCAAGGGCAGTCACAAAAGAAACTAATGGCTACGACAGATAATTCATGCAGTCTGATGCCAGCAACCTCCCTTCCTGGAGAACAAATGGATGTATGGACATGCCATGCAATGGATGTGCAATGAAGCCACCACAGCTGGGGAGGAGCCACTAAGCTCCAGAGGAAGATGGCATCAGGATGACGCTGCAAACAATTCATCTGTCCCTGTTGTGCAGATCCTCCAGGAGCCCTCTCAGCCAACTGTCCTGCCAGGCTGGGAGCTGACTGTGCTGTCCCTGAGCATCCTGCACAAGGAGCACCAGGATGTGCTTCCATAAAAGCCGGTGCACTGTAAAAATAGGAACAAAAGTGGTCTATGGAAGAAGCTGAAGCAAGGCCGCAGCTTCATTGCAGACTGTTCAAAGGAGCCTGAAAATAAAGGATGGGTGCTGCTACCTCACAGGCCACGGCTTACAGAACACACGGCACTCAGGTGTAACAAGGAAGCGCAAGGGTTACATCCAAAAACTGACTCTGTCACTCTGGCATGCAGGGTTTGAGGCAGTTCAAGTCCCATTTCAAAAAGCTGTCGTAGTTCTCAGATTCCAAAACGCGATGCTCCTAAGCTTGGCAAGACATACAAGAAACACTTAAGGAAGAATAAACAGCCCTTGGATAACTGCAATCTTGATCTCCAAGCATCTGAAATCGAACACGAGGAACTCACAGGAGATCCCTCCCATGGCAGGGGACACTCGAAAAAGCCCACCCTGGCTCTAAGTTTTCCTTATCACATTCGAGCATCCCTTTCCCAGGTCCCCACGCCGGCACGACCGGGACCGCCGCTGCTCCAGGCTCCCACCGGGCTTTTCCCCGCACCGCGCGGGACCAGGCCAGGCGGGAACCGAGACTCCCGAGCCACGGGAGGCACCGCGTCCCGCTCCGCACTGGCCGCCAGGCTCGGCGGAGCTTCCCCGAGTCGGCCGCCGCCGAGCTGGGCAGGCCGGGCCCGTGACGGGGCAGTTCTGCGGCGGCCCCGCGGGGCGGACACGCACCGACTTGGTAGAGGCGGCCCTCGGGCGAGAAGATGGTGATGTGCCGGTCGAACCCGGCGCTGGAGCCGCGCGACATGGCGGGAGCGGCGCGGGAGCGGCGCGGGAGCGGCGCGCGGCCGGGGGAGCAGTGCGCGTGCAGGGCCCTGCGACACACAGCGCCCTACCGCTTCCGGGTCACGCGCTCCTCCCTTCCTCCGCGCAGGCGCCGAGGCGGGAGCCGCTCGCGCACAGTCACGGTCCACCCGCGGCGCTGCGCATGCCCGCTCGTCGCGGCCGCCGCCCGCTGCCCTGTCGCGACATGCAGAGTCACTGCGGCGGGGCCGCTGTAGCGCGGGGGGAGGGGCAGTGTGGAGCGGGAAAAGCCCTGGGCTGCCAGGCTGGTCGGGTGGTTTTTGATTCATGGAAACCCAGAATCCCGTTGGACGTGCCTTAGGGAATGCGCACGGAAACAGCGGAAAACGGGATAAAAGCATCACCAGCCAGCCAGGAAAACAAAACCCCACCTAATTTTCCAAAGTAAATCATTCCACGTGCTCTCTTTAATGAGTATAATTTTAAAGCAAATACCTAAAAAAACATGCTTAAGGTACTCATAATAAGTAATTGTTCTTGCAGCTGTGTTATAATGTGAAAATACTTTTTATTGGTGTCCAGTACAAAGGGAAATCCCCCAAATTTAAACTCGTGAATATATGGGGTTTTTTGCCTTTCATCATGTTGGATTTCCCCTACTCTTCATGGGAAGGCATTTTTTTAAAAGTTGGTCATTAAAAGAGTTGGAGAAGCTGTGTTTTGGTATCCACACTTCTATTTTAAAATTATTATTAAATGAGCTTACTCTAAGTTGAAAAAGCAGAATGCAAGTGCATTTTGTGCATGCCACACAATACAAGTCTGCACTCTCAAATTTTTCAAAATACTCTTCCTACTTATTAATGCTATGGGAGAAGAAAATGTCTTACTATATATTACAAGGTGCAGAGTTTGTCCCTTTCATTAAGGAAGCCCTTTGTGAACGGACATGAAATGTTTAAAGGTGAGATGCAGGCACTGGAACACAGAGAACATGAAAATGTACAACTGTGTCTGCTGGGTCGGACATGGAGTCTGACTCAATGCTGTGTCTCCAATTGTGCCCAAAAGAGGATGCCCAAGGAAAAATATTAGGACTACAGAGAGCGCCTTTAATGATACACTCCTCTCCCAGTCTCCTACCATCTGGAGGGACTTCTCAAGGCAGGGATAGTGTCTGGTTATTTAGTAATCCTTACTGGTTCCCTCTCATGAACTTGCTGGTCTCCCCTTGAACTCACGTGAACTTCTCAAATCCATGACATGCCATGGCAAAGAGCTGCTCAGCGTAACAACACGTCGTGTGGTTTTGTCTGAAACCTCCCATTTTATCTGAACCTTCGGTCTGCCACTACCATTTGATGCCACTTTTGTACTGGAAGACACAGCAAGCAATCGATCCCTAGGCATCTACTCCAGAACACTCATGATTTTTATGACTTCTGTGTCTCTTAAGACCATTGTTTTTCCAACATGATGATCCCTACCCTCACAGTTCTTCCATGTACAAAGCTCTTCCGTTCTATAACAGAATTTAATGTCTGATTTTTTTTCCCTTGAGAAAAAGGGCATGGGGAAATGCAAATGAGTATCAAACATTCGGCCCGATTGCCAAAAAGTAAGAAATCAAAGATTCCATATTTGAATTAGACAAAAAAAGAGTAACAGTTGCTCAACACCATAGAGATGATGGAGTAGAAGTTATGATACTTTCAGGATACAGCTTCCAGAAGTTTGCTCCATCTACATAGCAATTTCGTCAGATTCCAAAGTACAGCATTGTTTCAGAGGAGCAATTGTGTTTTTGGTTTAATGTTCATCATCACCTCTCATCAACCATATGAGAGTCAAATTCCATGTTGCTGGATCCTGAGGAAGGCTGACTTCACTGACACCTTTTTAACGTATTAGCAGTAAGTGGGTGATCTTGGAGATGAAGCCATTCACAAAAGAGCAGAACAGGCTGAATCAGTTCAGTCTTCCTCAACTCTATCCTGCCAGTGTGTCTCCAGCTCCATGCCATGCAGCACACAAAGCTAAGGTCTCATTCCTTCTGATCCCTGTTCTTCCCACTCTGTGTGCTAGCATATGGCAGTCAGTATCCTTCTGGGGGTAACAATTCCTGTACTGTTCTCAAGACTTGCCTCTCTAGCATTCAGCATGAACCACCTCTTTAATAAATTACCTTGAATTTTTACTGTACCACTGTATAAACAGCAGGAGATGTCAAATAGATCTGCTGGTAGATGTTGGTATGCTTTGGTTTGGCTCTCACATTTATTGCCAATGAAGCCCTCAGAATTCCCTTTACATACTCAAGAAGAAAATCCTCATATTCATTGTTATCTTGAAATGCCCTGTTTCAGTAATCGGAAATTTGAAGACTTACAGCAACACAAAAGAAATGTTATTTCATAAATGTCTTACATAACATGCAAATAAATAATCTCAGTCAGAACAGAGCCTCTGGAGACCATGTGCATCTATGTAACAGGTAGCATACAAACAAAAAAGTCTGCAGGTTGTTTCTTCTTTGGTTCCAGAGAGGAGGTCATTAATTCCCTGCGAAGATCTACAGAGAAGTGTATTAGAAGCAAATACTGAAAAGCAAAAAGTCACAAATCTGCCACTAATTTTGTAACACCTTCCAGTTGTAAATTCCAGATTTGGTTCCGCTGTCCCCCAAGTACATTAGTACTGTGTATCTAGTGTTCTTATTTAGAAGGCATTACAGTATTTCCATAAGAACAGTTTTTGAGGTGAAACCCAAGTGACTGACTGGGGACATGTCCTCAGCCAAAAGGAAGCAGAGGATGCATGTATTCCAGCTAGATGTTGATCCTATGCATGTCTGTTAATGATCAAGGTGAGGTAGAACACAAATTGCAACAGGTGAACATGCCTGGTAATGAAATGGAAAACCGGAAGGTCCAGTTTCTGGGACCCACCTTTTGCAGCCTGACGTTTCAGCCCCACGCCCACACAGGTACCAGTACTTGTGCACTGGTGCTACTTCAGTGCAACAATACCCATTTAGACCTAGCTGAAGCAAATTTTGTAAGGGCTTTGCATTCAGACAACCCAGCTCTGAATCGCTTCAGGCTGCACAACCATCAGAGCTAGTACCAAATGAGGACTGTAACAGCACTGATTCACACCAGCTTATGCTGCTGTGGAACTTCATACAGAGAGTAAGGTAGCCTCATACACAGCAGCAGCTGCTAACTAAGTGGTCCTGTACAGGAGCAGATACTTAGTTTAAAAGCAGTATTTGCCACTTTCAAGATGTGGCAGTTCTCTGACTTACAGAATTGTAAAAACAATCGTCTGACAAATTAAAAGTATTGAGGAATGAGAGAAGTAGATCCAACCTCTCTGCTTTTCCTGGAGGACCCCATAGGAGCTGTCATGTTCTGCAAGAAAAGGCGACTGTGAGGAACACTACCAATAATGAATTTAAAACCAAGGTTCTGTGTTACCTTAGGAGGCACCCAGCTCCTCTACACTTTCTGCACAGTATTTGAAGGACTTGACTATATGCAAATCACACCTGCTGGTTTAGAAGCTGATACCAGAAGAACAGCAAGTGTCAGAATTGCTTTCTGTCATGGAAAAAAAATAAATAGCAGGGAACATGCTTGAATGCTAAGAATCCTGAGGGAGCTTGCAAGAGCTCAGAACTACAAGTACTATACAAAAAGATCTGCATGGTTCATCTGAGTTTCAGAGGATTTTTCAGCATACAAGAAAAATGTGACAAAATCATGATATTTCATCCAAGATTTATGTGGCATTTCTATGTTTTGGGGAGAAAAAGCTTGCATTAAAGTTTTAAGTGCAATAAACAAACATGTTTACCATACACACACTTAAAAATAATAACTTATAACATTTTTCCTGTAATTTATACTATTTTTCTTGCTTTATAACTTGGAATGGGTTTTATAGAAATGTCTCTACAAAAATCAGTTTTGTCCTATTATTGCCTTTAAGAATTTCTAATTATCGATTTTCACTTAAAAAATCCATGCATTCCCATAAGCAAACTATTGTAGTGATGTGAAATCCTGTCAGAAGCAGCAAATTTGAGGGTGTGAAAGAGCCACAAAATATTCCACTGGTTGTTTCCTTATTCTTCCAAACAAAATATTAATACATGTTGCTGTAACAAATCTTTCGCATTCTATGTGATCAAATGAATTCTAATTAGTGTGAGAAAGTATTAGGACTAATGTGTGCCTGGAAAAAGGTAAACATACCATTTGTCCCCCTAAGCTTCATTTCTTAGAGGCAGACATTTTGCAACACTGTTGTAAGGTCAGCCCCATAAACTTTGAAGGTACTTTGTAAGTCCTGCTTAATTTCTTTGAAGCACAAAGTTTATGAATTTCAGTGTAGATGAAAAGCTTGATAAAAAAAAAAAAGATAAAAAAACCCCAAACTGAAAATCCAAGATGAAAAATCAAGTTTTAATTCAAACCACAGAAATTGCCTGTAAAGATGGAAATAATGGACCTAATTCATCCCCGCTAGACCACCACTGATGTTAAAAGATTTACTGCAGGAATGATTTTGACAAAATGCAGTCACTGAATTTTCCTTAGTTACGGGCCTCACGTATTGATCACATAATTGTCCTGCTGAGTTCTGCTAGTCAGCAGTGATTACAAAAAAAAAAAATAAAAGCAGCTTCGGCTTGTGCAATTACATTCTTCATCATTTCTGTTGAATGCAGAGCCATTTTCTTGGTACTTGATATGAATATTTTTCCTCAAAAACATCTTTATAGGGGATATGCCATGTATCACCTGTAGTCTGCACCACACAGTCGTATTGGAAAGCTGGCTGTTGGGAAACAACAGAGAAAAACATTGCTTTTAGACTTTATACAATATATTACTAAAATACCAATTACATGTATTTATGACTTCCAATGCTTACCTTAGAAATCTCCATAGTTTCACCTCTTTTAACAACTCTCATTTTATTTCCTTACACCAAACAAATTCTAAATTTTAGTACAGGAGGAAAAACTAAAATATCTGTTAGTATTTTGTGGTCTAGGAGTCATTATAAATGGTTAAAATTCTGTCTTCAATC